TTAAAGTATTACAAAGAGTATTATATATGTCTCCTTTTTTTCCCCTTCTTGATATTCCCCCGGCTTCCCCTATCTCCCAGTGTCTTATGTCCATTGGTTATGCTTATATGCATGCATACAAGTCCTTCGGTTGATCTCTTACCCCCCTCTCCTGCCCCCCAACCCTCCCCAGCCTTCCCTCTGTAGTTTAATAGTCTGTTCGATGCTGCTCTGCCTCTGTATCTATTTTTGTTCATCAGTTTATAATGGTCTTTATTATCCATAAATGAGTGAGATCATGTGGTATTTTTCTTTCATTGACTGGCTTATTTCACTTAGCATAATGCTCTCCAGTTCCATCCATGCTGTTGCAAATGGTAAGAGTTCCTTCTTTTTTACAGCAGCATAGTATTCCATCGTGTAGATGTACCACAGTTTTCTAATCCATTCATCTACTGATGGGCACTTAGGCTGTTTCCAAATCTTAGCTATGGTGAATTGTGCTGCTATGAACATATGGGTGCACATATCCTTTCTGATTGGTGTTTCTGGTTTCTTGGGATATATTCCTAGAAGTGGGATCACAGGGTCAAATGGGAGTTCCATGTTTTGTTTTTTGAGGAAACTCCATACTGTCTTCCATAGTGGCTGCACCAGTCTGCATTCCCACCAGCAGTGCACAAGTGTTCCTTTTTCTCCACATCCTCTCCAGCACTTGTCGTTTGTTGATTTGTTGATGATAGCCAGTCTGACAGGTGTGAGATGGTACCTCATTGTTGTTTTGATTTGCATCTCTCGGATGATTAGTGACTTTGAGCATGTTTTCATATGTCTCTTGGCTTTCTGAATGTCCTCTTTTGAAAGGTGTCTATTTAGATCCTTTGCCCATTTTTTGATTGGATTGTTTATCTTCCTTTTGTTAAGTTGTATGAGTTCCCTATAAATTTTGGAGATTAGGCCCTTATCAGATATAATGTTGGCAAATATGTTCTCCCATGTAGTGGGCTTTCTTGTTGTTTTGTTGATGGTTTCTTTTGCTGTGCAGAAACTTTTTATTTTGATGTAGTCCCATTTGTTCATTTTCTCTTTAGTTTCAACTGCCCTAGGAGCTGTATCAGTGAAGAAATTGCTTTGGCATATGTCTGAGATTTTGTTGCCTTTGGATTCTTCTAGAATTTTTATGGTTTCCTGTCGTACATTTAAGTCCTTTATCCATTTTGAGTTTATTCTTGTGTATGGTGTAAGTTGGTGGTCTAGTTTCATTTTCTTGCATATATCTGTCCAATTTTCCCAACACCATTTATTGAAGAGACTACCTTGGCTCCATTGTATGTTCTTGCCTCCTTTGTCAAATATTAATTGAGCATATTGGTTCGGGCTAATTTCTGGACTCTCTATTCTATTCCACTGATCTATATATCTGTTCTTGTGCCAGTACCAGGCAGTTTTGAGAACAGTGGCTTTGTAATACAGCTTGATATCCGGCATTGAGATCCCACCTACTTTGTTCTTTCTCAGGATCGCTGCAGCTATTCGGGGTCTTTTTTTATTCCAGATGAATTTTTGGAGAGTTCGTTCTAGATCTTTGAAGTAGGCCATTGGTATTTTAATGGGAAGTGCGTTGAATTTATAGATTGCTTTGGGTAGTATGGACATTTTAATGATGTTGATTCTACCAATCCAAGAACATGGTATGTTCTTCCATCTCTTTATGTCTTCCTCTATCTCTTTTTTCAACGTCCTGTAGTTTTCTGAGTAGAGGTCTTTTACCTCTTTAGTTAAGTTTATTCCTAGGTAGCTTAATTTTTTTGGTGCGATGGTAAATGGGATTGTTTTTATAATCTCTCTTTCTGAAAGTTCACTATTGGTGTATAGAAATGCCTCAGATTTCTTGGGGTTAATTTTGTATCCTGCTACATTGCCAAATTCATGTATTAAGTCTAGTAGTTTTTTGATGGAGTCTCTAGGGTTTTGTATGTATAATATCATGTCGTCTGCAAATAAGGACAGTTTTACTTCCTCTTTTCCAATTTGGATGCCTTTTATTTCTTCTTCTTGTCTAATTGCAATGGCTAATACTTCCAGGACTATGTTAAAGAGGAGTGGCGAGAGTGGGCATCCCTGTCTTGTTCCTGTTCTTAGGGGAAATGGTGTTAGTTTTTGTCCATTGAGTATGATGTTGGCTGTGGGCCTGTCATATATGGCTTTTATTATGTTGAGGTATGATCCTTCTATTCCCACCTTGCTGAGAGTTTTTATCAAAAATGGGTGTTGGATTTTGTCGAATGCTTTTTCTGCATCAATTGATATGACCATGTGGTTTTTTTCTTTCAATTTGTTTATGTGATGTATTACGTTTATTGATTTACGGATGTTGTACCATCCTTGCATTCCTGGGATAAATCCTACTTGGTCATGGTGTATGATCCTTCTGATGTACTGTTGGATCCGATTTGCTAAGATTTTGTTGAGGATTTTGGCATCTATGTTCATGAGGGATATTGGCCTGTAATTCTCTTTCATTGTGTTGTCTTTACCTGGTTGTTTGGTAAAACTCCCCTGTGAAGCCGTCTGACCTGGGCTTTTGTTTGCTGGAAGCTTTTTGATGACTGCTGCTGACACCATATTTAAATTGCAGTTTTCAGTGTCTGAACAATGACTTCTTTTCCCAACATTTTATTACAAAAACTAGAGGCCCGGTGCACAGATTCGTTCACTGGTGGAGTCCCTAGGCCTGGCCTGGGCCCTCTCACAATCCAGGACCCCTCGAGGGATGTCGGACTGTCGGTTTCAGCCTGATCCCCACAGGCCAGGCCAAGGGACTCCACCAGTGCACAGATTCGTATGCATGTAAGATCTTTGGTTAATCTCTTCCCGCCCTCCTCCCTCCCCCATTCCCTCTGAGTTTCATTAGTTTGTTCCATGTTTCCATGCCTATGCATTGAGCGTCTGCCCCTTGGTGGTCAGTGTGCATCATAGCTATCGGTCAAATGGTCGAATGGTCACTTAGGCTTTTATATACATAGATTATCCAGCATACAGAAAATTTTAAGAAAATGTAAACACTCATATACCCACCAGCAGCCAGAGGGAGTACCTTTTTCTAATTACTAAAAGGACATGACACACCCTCACAGTGGCCCTGAGTCTCACAAAGTGAACCCGAGTGAGGTGGAGACTTCAGATAAGGTGGCCAGGGGAGGTCTTGGTGCTGAGATACAGCTGATGAGTCTTTAGGACAGAGACACATATCCCCAGCTTGTTTCTGCCTGGGCATGGTTTGCTCCTCAGGTGACAAATGAGCCCGGCTGTCTGGAACAAGAATGCCTCCCTTTACTTTCCCAGGGTCTGCACTTGCTTTCTTAGGAATGAACTTGGGTTGTAGCCTCTCCCGGGGGAAGTGAGGAATGGCCCTTGGAACTCCTGTTGCTAATATTCCCAACTGTCCCCATTCAACTCAACTGGGAATGGGAAGATACGGGGCCAGGCGGAGAACTAATTATTTTACTGAACAATGAGAGTCATAAGGCCCCGGGCAGACATTACCTACATTGAAAACACAGAAATCTCTTTCCTGCATGTTGTAGGAGAGGGTCACAGCCAGACTGATATAGCTGCTACCTGAAAAGTAACCCCAAGAGCCCGCCTTGGCAGCCTGGTGGCACACTCCCAAGGCTGTATCCTGAGACTGGCAGCTGCGCCTACTCTCTTCTCTCAGCCCAGGAAGCTTATGAAGATGTAAGAGTGAGGTGACTTTATTATATGAATACCAGTGGATCTAGTTTATATTTTAAGTAAATATAAAAGATTTAAGTAAGTTATTTGAAAACTTCAGTACTTTACAAAAATACATTTCTCATGATACACCTCTCAAGTGAAGTGATAGTCAAGGTTTGAGAGAGACAAAAAAAATTTATTTTATTGAAGACAAGATCCTGGGAAGCAGGAGGGAGAAACCCGGCTTCTGCCACTCAGCCCTCGCAGCCCAGGGCTGAGCAGGCTATCCAGATCTCATTATCTAAGTATTTGCTGTCTGAGAACTTGCAGACAGAAGACTATGGAAGGGCCTACCATGAAAATGCACCTTCTAGCTTGCTACTCCAATGCGGCCTGCTGACCAGCAGGGCTGGTGCAAGTGCCATCACCTGGAGGCCGGTGAGAAGGACCTTGGGTCACACCCCATTCGTGCTGAATCAGAATCTGGTCAGATCCCCCACTGACTCTTATGTACTTTGAAATTGTCTTGCTCAAACATCTCTCCCAATGACTATAAAATCCCCCTGTCAATCAGTCTCCCCTCCCAGCATCAAATATAATAATGCAACATAAAGCTAACCAGAAGCCGAGTGAACTGGCAAAGTTCGCAAAAGATGCGGGATTGCACAGAATTAACAGACGTGATCAGCCAGGAGAAAGGCAGCCCTGGACCCCTGAACAAGGGAAGAGGAGTGAATCGCAAGCATGGTCACATTCCCTCAAAAGACAACGCTGTGAATATCTGGGAATGAAGACAGGCTCCTGGAGAAAATGAGGAGGCTCATGACCATCTTTGTAAAAATGACCCACTTTATGACTGTGCCGGGGAAATCAAACACATACAATTTTGTTGAAAAACTGTGCTAAAAAAAAAAATCAACACTTAACACTCCCGCCACTCAAAGGAGGAGCACATTGTTTTAATGATAACTTCAATGCTATGTGAGATAAGTTACTTTCGTGAGTTTTAGTTCCATTTCTCAAGACAAAGTCTAATCCAAGTGTCACTATTTCTTGTGATTTCAGTCCTTGTTTTAAGTGGATTTTCTCAGGGCCGGTTATATTCCTTTTTCTTTTTGCCTCTGGGACTTGGTTGGGGTGCCTATGACCGGTGTGGGATAATTGACACCAACTTACTCCCCAGGTGGGGGAAGAATTCTTCCTACTCTCCTGTTTCCTGAGTGGATGTTTCGCGCACTGTGATGTCACAGAAGGGGGTTCCCTCTGGTTATAGCTCTAGAGGCAGGTATCTATTCTGTGCTTACCTTATCGAGCATGAGGAAGTTCTCCAGCGTCTCTCCGTTTTCACAGGTGACATCACCAACCTCTCTCACGGCTCTGGGCAGAACTTCTCGCACCTCCTGGGCAATCATTCCTAGACACAAAACACTCTAACAGGTTGAGTCAGGGAAAGACCTTTCTGGAGAAAATCCTCCCAGGCCTACATCAGAAAGGAACACCGACAGCCACAGGCCACAGGGGAAGTCTTAGCAAATAGATGCTTTTGCTTTGATCTACAAGCATTTGAAGCAAAGAAGGAATTTTGAGCCATGCATCACTATAGGATTAAGTGGGCGTGCCTTTTCTTTACTTTTCCTTGAGACTCCATGCCAAATGTTGGAAGGGGTGAGTAAATACCTTAAAATTTCTTCACATAGAAGCAAGGGTGGGACATTATCTTGTTTTTGTTTTTTGGGGGGAGGTTGTTTGTTTGTTTTGTTAGTTTGTTTTCTTTTCCTGCAGAAGGACTTGCCTCCTAATCCATTCTTTAGGATTCCGGATTGGAATATAAACACCACTTTGGCCCTTCTCTAACCTAGACCTGTCTACTATGCCATTTTCTCTCTCCATCCCAGGATTGCCCTCAAACAGTTTGAGCTGCCATCTGCCCCTCAACCCTCATCACATGAGCGAGAGGATGCCAGTGAAAAGAAACAATATATTGAAAATACTCCCCCAGTACCTTGAGGTGCAGGAATGGGGTGGGTATTGAATAAAGACAACAGGAATTTCTTTAAGCTTTCCTGTTCTAGTGATTACGGGTTTCACAGAGGAAGAATTAGACCAACAGGATATTTTCAAATGCCATAGCACACAACCTCCAGTTAAAAAATTTGGAATTAAGCCTGGCCAGTGTGGCTAAGTGGTTGAGTATTGACCTATGAGCCAGGAGGTCACAGATTGATTCCTGGTCAGGGCACATGTCCTAGTTATGGGCTAGATCCCCAGTAGGGGGCGTGCAGGAGGCAGCCAATCAATGATTCACATCATTGAAGTTTCTATCTCTCTGAAATCAATAGAAATATATTTAAAAAATAATTTGGAATTAACATTTTAATAGGAGACAATACAAAGTTAAAAAGGGAACTTGTGTGTGTACCTGTTTGATGGGCAGTGTTTATTCCCATTGCAGATGCAAACTCAGGTTTGTAGTCATATTCAACAATCCTCATTTGGGCTATTCTTCTCAGCTGTTCATTTGTGTCAACCTAATTGAATTAAAGAAGAGCAGATTTCACCCACTTAGATATTTGCTGTTCAAATCAATGCCCAGAGTGACCCAGAGAGATTAGGCATGTTGAAAATTTGATTGTTTTATCCTGTTGCTCAAATTATTTTAAGAGAAATTTATATTTTTCTCCTTAGAGAAGCCAAAGTTTCAACTTCCATGTTAGTGACTTCTGTTCACTGATTTGTAAACTGAACCAGTTTTACTAGTATGTCTAAATTCTAGGACAAAAGCTCCCTCATTCACTGCTCCTGCCTTCTTCCCTCTGAGAGGCAAACCCTCTTCCTAAGAATGAGGTTGCTCACTTTGGAGAGAAACGATGAAAGGATTGAGAAGTACCATTTCCAAATGATACATGCAGCATAAATACCAAACAAATACAGGCCAACCTTGTATTTATAAATTGAAAATGCAATGTTTAGTTCAAGTAACAAACTTTGAGGTATGAATATATCCCCCATTGTTTGCTTTTGACCATTTTGCTGGAGAAACTTTCTTCAGGGTGCAGATTGCAAATCCAGGTTGCCCAACAGCTGGACCCTCCTGACCCAGACTTCCCTCATGAGATGGCTCCTCCCCAGACCTGCCTGTCAGTGCCAGTGTTTTCTGAGCTCACCGCTCTTGCAGGTTGTTAAAAGCATTCCCAACGGTCACTGCAAACTCCTCAAAAAATTTGCACTGGGTCCCAGCAAAATGAAGACAATGGAGATCATTTTTCCTAAAGCTAAATGTGTTTAACTCAAAGGATTCCCCTTTGAGGGTTTTTATTTAACGAATTGACGGCATAACAAGATTGTTTTTTATTGTCTTTGTTTAACAAGTAAAAAGTTGGCGGCCCTGTGTGGGTGCCCTAAATTTTCTTTTAGAATATAACTGGATTATGAAACCAGTGGTCTCTTGACAATTAAAATTATATTGTCTTGACAATCAACCATGTGTTGGAGCAACCAAAATGCTTTGTTGTTGCTGCTGCTGTTTTAAGAAAACCCTGTCATGATCCTCCGCTCCTCTGGACCCACTGTGCCAGGTGAGCAGGAAAGCGCCTCCCATCTCATTGAAGGCTCTTCCCTAGTTGGGCTGATTGGGAAAGCCTATGGCTCGGCACTTAACTAGCTAAATGGACAAGCTTTACTTCAGGGATTTGTCAGGGAGTATAATTTTGAGCTCGCTGTTGTTTTAATAACTGTTCTTATGAAAAACTTGATTCAGTGCGTTCATTCATTGTTTTATTTGACTAACATTTACCAATCATCTTCAACACACCATGCACTACACTAAGTGCTGGGACTTTAAAACTGATTGCCTTTTCTTCTGAAACTAAACCAAAATAATATTGAATGTAAACTGTAATTTAAAAATAAAATTTAAAAATTTTTAAGAGTTTGTGGTCTACACAGGAAGGCAGACTCATCAATACAGATTATATTACAACTAGAGGCCCGATGCACAAAATTCGTGCAAGGGACTTGGCCCCAGCCCCCGCCCACCGCCGCCAGAGCCAGGGCCCTCTGCCGCCTCTGCCACAGTCCCCACCCGCTCTGGCTTTGTCTGGAAAGAAGGACATCCAGAAGGATGTCCAGTCTAATTAGCATATTATGCTTTTTTATTTTAGATGTGGTATGCAGGATGGTGATGGAATTGTGAATGGAGAATCATGGCCAATCCAAGTAAGTATCTAAGAATTCTCAGGGGAGCTAAGGAGGGCTTCCTCCAGATGGTGAAGCCCAACAGAGACCTGGGCTCCTTTCAGTTCTCAGCCGTGTTCTGCTCCTTTCACTTCAGGACCTTTGCTCATGCATTTTCCCTGCCTCCATAGCAATTCCTCCCCTTCCCACCTCCTTCCCCAGCATACATCCCTTCACCAGAGAAGCAGTTTTTGACCCCCAACACTAGGAAGGGGCCCGCTGCTTATGTGCTAATGGCACCTGTCCTTTCCCTTGGTAACATTAATCGAGTTATCACCAGACAGTTGGTTATGTCACCCTTATTCTCTGTCTTCTCTCTAGGCCAGCCGTGGGCAAACTACGGCCCGCGGGCCGGATCTGGCCCGTTTGAAATGAATAAAACTAAAAAAAAAAAAGACCGTACCCTTTTATGTAATGATGTTTACTTTGAATTTATATTAGTTCACACAAACACTCCATCCATGCTTTTGTTCCGGCCCTCCGGTCCAGTTTAAGAACCCATTGTGGCCCTCGAGTCAAAAAGTTTGCCCACCCCTGCTCTAGGCTATACTCCTGAGGGTGAGGACAGATGAGGCCATGGTTTTCTGTTCATCACCAAATCACCAGTTTCCGGGTAGTAGGTGCTCAACTAATATTTGTTTAATAAATTAAGATAGGAGTTAGTTGTGGGAAAATGTAGATAAGGGGGGAACCAAAAAAGGGGTGACTAAGACAGGGGTGCTGGGAGGAAGAACACCATGAGCCAAGTTCCAAGGCAGCAAATCCCCCGAGTGATGTCTGCACAATAGAGGCGGAGTTTGACATTACTAGACCATAAAGACAAGGTCAGAGCAGGGAGGGCCTTGCAGACCATGCTGGGAAGGAAGTCACAATCTCATGCATCTGTCACTGGGAGCTCCTTCATCCATTCAGCGAGTATTGAGTAGTGACTATGTGCCAGGTGCTATTCCAGCCACTGGAAGTTAAACGAGTGTTTCTTATCTGAAGTTCACGTTTTAATAAAAGTTCTGTTCCTCAGGGTAAGGCCAATGTCTTGTTCATTCCAGGAACTGCCCGGTGCCTAGCAGAGTGTCTGATGTAATCGGCACACAGAGCTTCATTGCAGAGAAGAAGGAATGAAAAAATAGAGGTGGGGCGATGGCAGAGCAACCCTGACACGAACAGAATTGAAGATGGGGATCAACCAGGAGCCAGCCTGGACCGGCCTTGTGCTAGCCAGGCCCTCCCCAGTTCCCCACGCCCCACACCCTTGGGAGTCCTGTGCTTGATTTGCCTATTTTTTATTATCCCTGGGGTTTGTGCAAGAGTCCCCACTGGAGACCACCTTCGCTCAGGCTGTCCAGGCTCTGTAAAGGGAAAAGGACTCCTGCTGACTAAGTTGGATCCTTGGATGTATTTTTCCCAAAGACATATTGCTACACTTAGCGATTAGGTATCAGACAGATTTTTGCCCAAAGAAAATTTTGAGGGTTGGCTTGGGGATCTAAAGACCCATAACAATGTTTCTCTAAGAAAATGCTCTTCTGGTTTCTGGCTCATAGACTTTCTTTCCAAAGCTAAATATAAACTTCCTGGGTTGCATGTTGCCTAGCTGTTTTCTGGCGAGTGAGAACCCTGGAGGCAAGGGCTGTGCCCTGTTGGAATCCTCCTCTAGGAACTGTACACGGGAACTGTACACAGACCAACACTTAACGCCACACCTTGCTCATCACGTGTGTTGAGCAAGAAGGTAGAAGCGGAATGACAGTGTTGATCTTGCCCAAAGCAGTTTTGCAAAGTTTTGACCTCGAATGCAAATGGCCATCGCTGTCATGCTGCCTCATGCCCAAGGTTTCTATGTCGTTAAGTCAGGAACTGCACCATGGAGAAGACGTCTCAGCCCGTGGGAGCCCAGTGGGTTCAGGGAAAGAGATCTCATTGCACATCATTGGCCCTGGCCCCCAGCCAGGACGAGCAGTGGCATCAGACAGGGCTCACCCAGAGCCCAGGAACCAGGGCATTTGCTTGTGGCCTGAGGGGAGAATGCATGTTTACCTTCCTCCAGCTCTTCACTCAGTTCTCTTTAACCCGCTAACTGCTGGTGCGGTGGAGAGAAAAACATTTTGAGCATTCCATCTTCATTGATTTTTTTTCCTGGCTTTTATTTTTGGGTCTTTTCCTGCCTGTTTCCAGCCTTCACTGCAGAATTTGACAGATGTATCCAACTTTCAACTTCCTCTTTTTTTTTTTTTTTGCATTGACTTTGAAGTTCTTCATGCCCCTTTGATTTGCAGCACACCCTTCCCACCCTAATTTTGTTTCGTTTCCAAGCCTCACTTCCTTGTCCAGGCTGTAATCACATTGGCAAGCACAATGACACTGTCTAGGTCAGTGGTCGGCAAACTGCAGCTCGCGAGCCACATGCGGCTCTTTGGCCCCTTGAGTGTGGCTCTTCCACAAAATACCACGTGCGGGTGCGCACGTACAATGCGATTGAAACTTTGTGGCCCATGCACAGAAGTCGGTATTTTGTGGAAGAGCCACACTCAAGGCACGTGGTATTTTGTGGAATAGCCACACTCAAGGGGCCAAAGAGCCATATGTGGCTTGTGAGCCGCAGTTTGCCGACCACTGGTCTAGGTGAGTTAAACTGCTCCTCTTAGACCAGCGGTTCTCAACCTGTGGGTCGCGACCCCTTTGGGGGTCGAACGACCCTTTCACAGGGATCGCTTAAGACCATCGGAAAACACATATATAATTACATATTGTTTTTGTGATTAATCACTATGCTTTAATTATGTTCAATTTGTAACAATGAAAATACATCCTGCATATCAGATATTTACATTACAATTCATAACAGTAGCAAAATTACAGTTATGAAATAGCAACGAAAATAATTTTATGGTTGGGGGTCACCACAACATGAGGAACTGTATTAAAGGGTCGCGGCATCAGGAAGGTTGAGAACCACTGTCTTAGACCAACCTCATTTTCCCAGTGCTTCAGTGTCAGGGGTTTCAATCACATCTGCTCTATCTTCTCTGTGTCTTGGATACGAATCCAGGTGAGCACCAGAGATCTCCCCCACCAGGACTCTGCAGAGAGCTCCTGTGCTTTATATCTGCCAGCAGCCTACGCTGCCTTGAGCGAGGTGGCCCAGGGCAAGGCAGCAGCCTATATTCATTTTCCCTGTCACAGTGTTCGGTAACCTGTTTTGCCACAGCTCATCCAGTTGCCATGCAACCTGAGAGAATGAAGGGTGCATGCCCCCAGTGTGCATGCAACCAGATCAACCAAGGATCCCTTCCCAGCACATTTAGAAAAACAAAGTCAGGGAGAGGTGAAGATGAAGCCCACGCATGTGTCAGTACCATCATCAACATTACCACTCCCTCTCTTGTCTGTAATAAGTAGCCAATAGAACAGACAAGATTTCCAGCAACATGTATTTTGTAAATGTGGGTAGACCTATTAAGGACGAATACATTATTACGAAATAATTTAAAAAATAAATGACATATAATTTGCATCTTTAAAAAAAAATTTTTTTAAGCCCATGGGTAAAATGAAGATAAGCATTTCCTGCCTGCTGGCGTGGCTCAGTGGTTGAGCATCGACCCATGAACCAGGAGGTCATGGCTCGATCCCCAGGGTGGGTCGTGCAGGAGGCAGCCGAGAATCAATGATTCCCTCTCATCACTGATGTTTCTATCTCGCTCTCTCCCTCTCCCTTCCTCTCGGAAATCAATAAAAAATATATTTTAAAGAAAAAAAAGATAAGCACTTTTTTGTTCACAGAAGAATAAACAGAGGCATAGAACATCTCTGGGCCGCATTTCCTGGGCCCCTGGGCCCGTGGGTGCCAGAATCAGGACTGAATTTCTCGCCTTCCCATGAGCCTGGGCTGGGCCCGTGTCCCGTCATGCCACTGCGAGCAGGAAGGGGAAACAGGAATTTCCCTTTGGAGCCAAGGCCGGGGCGGCATTTCACTCTGTGAAGAAGGCTTCCTAGAAGGAACCTGAGAAGATCTAGGGAAGTTTGCTATTTTAAGACACGAATGTTCTTCACACCAAGGAGCGCCCTTTAAAGCCGTTAGGTAACTAAAGTTCTGGGGATGGCCTGGTGGCAGCAGCAGGGGGCGTGGAGGACTTTCCCCAGCTGTCACCTTCCAGTTCCATTGAGAGAAGGCCTGGCAGGGAATTGGATAGCCAATTGCAAGGACAAGCGTGAGTGGGTGTGATCTGAAACACAGACAGTTTTCTCTCCCTAAAAGGCAAGGGCACGCTATCGGGGACTGGGATCTGAGAATGTCTGTGAGAACTTTCTAGCCCTAGGAGTTCCCACCCGGCTAGTAGGTCACGGCTCTTCTAACAGGAGCCACAGCTCCACAATCAGCATGAAAGTCTGCGGTTCCAGCCGTCCCCTGGACATTCCTTGGCTGGGTTAGAGACCCCAGCGCAGACTCGCACGGGGAAAGGAATGCAGTCTGGAAGGATGGCCAGTGATTTACAGATTACAGTCTCCTAGTGACTAAAAAAGAGTACGGATAGGAGACTTAAAAACACCATTCTGCCCCGGCCTCAGAAACGCGTACAGGAGAAGCAGTGTCCGTGAGAAGGTGGGGAGGTGGTGGAAGCAGTGAATGGGAAACGGAATTCAACGGTGAAAGGTCTGGCATCAGGAGGATCCTGGCATCTTCATCCTAATCCCTTAGGTCTGCAGAGCAGCTGTGATTTCCCCCAAATTTCTCTCAATGGGTGAAAAAAAATATAAAGGACTCGGTGGGGCCAGGGAGAGAGAGTCACCGTTTGCATCTCGCAGAGGAAGACACTGAGCTTCCGCAAGGCTAAGGGTTTGGCCAGGGTCACGCGGCTGGGTGAGCCCAACGTGGAGGAGCAGCCTCCTGACTTCTAGACCTGATTTCCCATTTCCACAGGCGGCTGCCTCTCCACAGAGGGAGGCAGTCTTGACCCGGCTCTTGCCCATCCCTGTCTTAGTCTTGCCCTTTCCAGTTCACCCAGACCCGGCACTGAGGGCTGAGCAGGAGGAGCTCCCTGGCTGCCCCTGGGAGAAAGCTGAGGAGTGGGGCAGGCTGGCCAGCAGGGCCGGTGCCCGGGCTCTGGGAGGAGGAGCCTGGAGAGTCCAGGAGACGTATGGGCAGGAACGGGCCTGAGAGAGTGCTCGAAGGAGCCACAGGGGGTGGAGATCTGGAGATGGGAAGGAAGGGGCAATCTCCAGCAGTTGACAGTGTGTGGAAGGAAGGGCCAGGGCCTGTGGAGAATCACCCGGAGACCCGTTGCGTGGGCAGCCAGCGCGATGCTGTCATCGCCCTCTGCTCCGTCAGGTGAGGCCATTCTCTGGGGGAGGCCTGCTTGGCAATTCCAGCAGGGATGCCTACTGGCTGCAGCACTCATCCTTGTTAAGCAGCCGCACAGCACAGGCGACATGCGGAGATGCCCCCTGCGGGGCGTGTCAGAGGCCAGGAGCACCCGGCACACCTGACTCAGGTGTCAAAGGTGTCCAAGGCCAGCCCCGCGCTCACCTCCTGGATATTCTGCTTAGCCCGGCTGTCAGAGGGATGCATAATTGTCCCCATCACTTTCATGTTGCCACAGACAACCAGGGCTTCGTCCGGTGCATCTGTGTTTATTCCCACTCGACCATGACAGACAACAGCTTCTGGAACTTGTCCTCGCTGCCATAATGCATCACTGTCATTTTCAAATTGCCCAGGGTTAGAGGCCTGGAAAAAATACATAAATTTATTACCATTAAAGTCACAGTAGCAGGAATAGACGATCAGTTTATTCCTCATAGCAAAGGAAAACAATGTGTAAGTCTGTCATCTGAGACTCATATGTTGGATGGGACATTTTGACATCTCCCTATAGCTGTGGCCCCAGGAGAACCAGGGGCCCCCTAACTGCTCTGCCCCCCAGGAGCAGGAGCTCAGTTGGCCATGGTTTGCAACATCCAGTCTCTATTGCATGTATCTGGAATTGATGATGTGTCAATTGTACTGGGAGAAAGATGAAGAAAAAAACTCACAAAGACTGTCTTTTCAAGAGAATTGATGATGTGTCAATTGTACTGGGAGATGAAGAAAAAAACTCACAAAGACTGTCTTTTCAAGGATAATAATAATGATCTTAAAACGAGAACATGACATCAAAAAATATTACAAGGTTATTAAAAATCTCAGATAAATAAAAATACCTTGAATTTTGCTAGCTCTTTTATAGTTTTAAAGCACTTTCATATTTATGATTTCATATGCAATTGACTAGTTAATGACAATACAAATATATTTAATACATCTCAACTATTCCCTAAACACAAGTAATACAGAAGGAAGAATAACAACTCCATTTGTTGTGTAAATCCACACCCCAATTCTATGAGACATGTAGCATTATCCTCATTTTATTGATACTGGGACTCTGAGAGGATAAACAAATTGCCTAAGGCCCCAAAGCTAACAAGTTCCAGAGCTGGAATTATAATTTCTTTGATTGTTAAATAATGACTTTAACTTGGCCTTTTTATGCTGTCGCCTAGAAGTAGTAGCCCTGGTTGAATGTGGTCTTCAAAGAAAATCCAAGTGAAACTTTAGACAAAGTTCTGGAGATTTTACTCTTAAATAAAATTCTTTGTTGAAGAATCCTTGCCCAGTTCCCTGCAGCCACTGAATATATTCCAAACATCTTTAAGTAGAGACTCTGAATCCATCAAAATCTTCTCAACAAAATGTATTTGCTTTTGAAATTATGACCTATCCTTCTAAATCTGACTTTTGTGTGTTTGAGGTAGGTTGTCAGAAATTCAGACAAAACAGTAGGGACCCTGATCATCAGCACAAATGCAAAGTCTTCACTTTGTGCCTTCCTGGGGGTCTATGGGAGACACTGGAAGTCAACACCTGAGCGTGTGCAGATTTTCTCTGAAGAGTACCCGAGAAACCAAAAACAATGGTTTCCTCAAGGATGGGGGCTGGGAGACGTGGAGACTGGGGTGGAGGGAATTTGCTGTTCACTATCTGTTTTCAGTATGATTTGAATGCTTTTACCATATGCACGTGTTACCAATTTAAAAATAAATAATTACAAGAAACCATAAGGTGTAGTGCTTTGTTTGGGTTCAGGTAAAGAACGTTTAGGTGTCTTCAACTTCCTGTTTCCTCTTCCCTGTCTGACCCCTGAGCTGCTGGGAAGACTCAACCGTTGACACTTGATAGACAACAGCAATGAAAGAATTTAAAGTAGCAACGTTGAAGATTATTTTGTGTGAATTCACTTGAACAAAGAGCTTCTCTGCAAAATCCCTAGAGCCCCCTTGGCTGTGAATGGCAAATTGGCTTTGACTCAAATCCTTTTAGAGCAAGCAATCAACTAAATCCAAAGGTATCCCATACAAAATGTTGATGTGTTTTGCTCTACTCAGAACATAATGAGCCAGCCACTTCAAGGAAACAGAATAGGACAGTGATGGATTTTTGTTTTCTTAATGAGCATTGGGATAATTATTATCATGTTGGTAACTGTTACTGGAACAGTAGGTTTAATTTTTTGGAACTATTACAACAATCTCACTTGGCTTTCATTGGATGAAGACTAAAATCCCTAAAATATGTTCAGATTATTTTGGGATGGGCCAAAGAGAACCAACGATTGAACTGGTGACCTCTTGGTTCATGTGTCAATGCTCAACCACCGAGTCACATCAGCCTTACTTACATGTTCTAAATATAGAACCTTAAGGAGGAGTCCTCATCCCTAATGGAAA